TTGTTTTCTCGTTTCCCCCGGGGCCGGTCCCGCCGGTGGCTGGCCGCGGCGCGTCGTCCTTTCACTCCCCCAAAAAGTCGTCTTCCCTTGCGACTGCCCAACTCGACCAAAACCTTGTCACTCTTCCTCCTGCTCCCTTCCCCCCCCCCCCCCCCCCCCCCCCCCCCCGGGGCCCATCCAGACATTGGCCCCCCCCAAACACGCAACCTCGGCCGCCCCCCTGAAAAGCCCCTTGTCGACCGTCTCCCTCCAAAAGAAAAGCTTGCGCCACCTCCACTTGTGCTTCCTGCGCACAACTGTCCTCCATTCCGCACATCTCATCCGCGTGGGAATCCGCAAACGGCCATCCGTGCGGACGTTTGCTCTCGGAGTCCACCCTCGTACGCGTGCGGACCGCCGCCGGCCCGCCGAGCGTCCTTTGCGTTGACGCGGTGCCTTTGCGTGCGCAGATCCCAGCGTGGACCTGCTGGCGCTGGACGTGGCCATCAACGCGGCGGCCGGCGCTCTCAAGGCTTTCTTCGCCGACCTGCCGGACCCGCTCATCCCGTACGCGCTCCATCCCGAACTCGTCCAGGCCGCAAGTAAGAATGCACCCGTGACCGCGTCACGTCCGCTTGCAATGTTACTGCAATCCACACTTTTGCCCGACATCTTACAAGTTTGTTTTGTTTTTGTTTTTTTTGTTGTTTTTTTAATCGTCTAATGTTTTTTCAAATTGAAGCGTTTGAACAGTTTTGTCAGAATTTTAGGGAATTTCAGTGTGGTTGGCGAAACTCTTCAACTTGTTTGTTTATTTTTTTGTTGAGCGAAGGGGGACGGGGTCAACTAGCGCTAATGCTAACCATCGTTCAGCTCACGTGACTTTTGCATGTTTGGACTCTGACTCTTTGACCGCGCGCCGCCGCAGAACTGGCCGACTACGCCGAGCGTCTGCACGTCCTCAAGGAAATCGTCAACAAGTTTCCCTCCGTCAACTATCACGTCTTCAAGTACATCATCACGCACCTCAACAGGTAAGGCGCACGCGGGCGGGACGAGTGCCCGAACGGCGCGACGGCTCACGGCGGCGCCGGCTTGTGTGTGTGCGTGCGCGCGCACGTTCGCAGGGTGAGCCAGCACAGCAAGAGTACGCTGATGACGGCCGACAACTTGTCCATCTGCTTCTGGCCCACGCTCATGCGGCCCGACTTTGAGAACAAAGACACGCTGTCCAGCACCAAGCTCAACCAGGCCGTGGTGGAGACCTTCATCGTGCAGAGCGACTTCTTCTTCCACGGCGGCGACGCGGTCCGCGACGACGGCGCCGGCGGGCCACTGCCCCTGCAGCTGCCGCCCCCCCTGCAGCCGCAACAGATCCAGCGCGCGCTGCCGCCCGAGCCTCTCGTTTGAGCCGCGCCCTCCTCCTCCGCCGTCGGGCGCTCCGAGGCCACGCCCGCTGAAATCCAGCCCACCCCCAAAAATACCGCTTGAAAAGTTGGCCGCGTTCCCTTTTTGGCCGCGGATTGAACAACAGGCTGCAGGAGTGACACCCGAAAATGGCCACAAAGCCCTACTTTTGCATAAATCGGGCTCCTCGACTCATTCTTGGCAGCGCCGCGTCACAAAACAGCACTCGGTTAGTTTGCGACCCAAAAATTTGAATTGACGTAAAAAAACAAATGCTGGTTAATATGATCGTCCGTTCGCTGTTGCACCCTGACACCAATTAAATATTCCACTTCAAATCATTCCTGTGGCCTGCTTTTCAATTCCCTTTTTCCCTGAGCTAAAATTTGAAAATTACTTGATTGGATTTTTTTTTTCTTTTCACCAAGAAAATTAGTTCTTTTTTTTTTTTTTTGGGTGGGTTGGCCTGCTGATGGAAAATGTCGTGAAGGCAATGATTTGTTCATTGAGGAGAACAATGCCAAACGCCTCTTTTTGGACTCGGGTCAAGGGTCAACTAAGTGACTTGTCATCCAGTGACGTCCGCCCACTCCGCTGGTTGGGAAAAAGAAAAAAAAAAAAACCCAGCCTGTCTTCCTCATGGTCGTCACATTTCTGCACAGGAAGCCTCATCTGCCTCATCGTCACTTGGAGAGAAGACGACGAGCGGGCGGATTTTCTCTCTTGCCGTCTTCATTTCGAGCGCGCGCTTGTGTGCGGATTTAGGAGGGAAAATGTGACATCCGGCGCGTGAAACTTTTGCGAACAAAGGGACAAACCGCGCCCGCACACGACGTCCGCATGTTTCCTAGTGAACGACGACAACAAAAAAGCAAAACAAGCATTCGTTAGCGTTCTCGCCGGGAATTCGGTTCATGGGGAAGGAATTGTTTCTTTTTTCCCCTGCTGAAATAGCTTTTTGTTTCTTTTCGAAATAGAGGAAATACAGTGCGTGTTTATCAGAGAATCGCTCTCTTTCTCCCCGACAAATGCCGCAGGCGAGTACGAGAGGCGACGCGAGGTCCGTCAGTCCGCGTGTCGGCGGCGCTCGCGATGCAGCTGCGGAAGGCAAGTCGGGGGCCTGCGGAAACTCAATCGGAGTCAATTCGACCTGAATTGGAAGCGGGCCTGCGTGCTGATCCGTTCCCAATATATACGCTGTCCTCACCTCAATGTGAAAGCAAGCGCATCTCCTCAATTGGGAGACTTGCGGTCAGAATTTGGGTTTCGGCTGGGCGGGGAGAGCCGCGCGCCGACCGTCGGCAACAAGCACTTTGTGGACGCGAATGTTGGGAGTTTGGGCGCAAGACAAACCCAAATGTGGACGGGCGACGGCGTCTGCTTTCGGTCCACCCCGACCGCACTCGACGCGCACGTGTGCGCTGCGGAGGAAAAAAAAAAAAAGGCCGGCCGGGAGCGTGCGCGCGCGCGTGTCGAAATGTGAGCGAGCCAAGACTCGGCGTGAAGTCAGCGGTTTCGTCAAAGTGTGTGCCCGAGTGCGAAATGCTTGCGAGCAGGTGTCGAACGAGCGGACGTCGGCGGTCGGGACGCGCGTCCGCGCCACGTCGGTGACGTCTTGGCGTCATGCTAACAAGCTGCTGACACCTGAAACCAAACAAACGCACTCTGGGCTCGCGCGTGTGTGCGTGCGTGTGTGTGTGTGTGTGTGTGTGTGTTGAACTGGCAGTCAAATGGATGGAGTGGACAACGCAAAGCAAAGGGAAAATGTAGCAATCCACGTGGGAATAAATCTTGCTTTTCTTTTCTTTTAAGTTCTTGTTCACAAAGCAAACTTTGTTGGTAGTCGATGAGCGTGGCCCTTTTCTTCCAAAGGCATTCAAGGGACAAAACCTTGGCGACTGGATTGTGGCCGTCAGCTTCCGGGACGTTGGCCAATAAACTTTTAGCGGCTGCTCAACCAGGAAACAAACAAACAAACAAACAAACAAAAAAGGTTTTCCTACTTGCGAGTTGGGTCGCCTTGCGCGACACGCTTTATATTTTCAGCCGGCAGACAAAATGCTGGAAACTCCAAAAGGTTTATCCTGTTTCCAAATAAACTTGTTTGTTTTCAGAACATGACCACTGTTGTTTGTTGCCCTCCCCAAGTTGTTTTTCTGAAACATTGAGCGAGTTCCTCGATTTCCACGATGTTCCAAGTCCTCCGGTGGCTTGAAATACCGTGACTCCGCTCTGGAGTTTTCCAACCGAGTGCAAATTTGATATCGGAGCGCTGCGCAAGTCTTTTTCACAAATACCCAAGGATTAAAAAACTGCAGCGCTGGATCCATTTCCAAATCTCTGCCATGTATCTCCGTCTTGCAGGACATGACCTCAAGCAATGAGTTCCGGGTACTGTACATCACTCTGTTTGACACTTACTAAGGCACAGAGGCAAAAAAGACGAGTTGAAGATCGGCCGGCGGTTCTGAATAAATCTGCCATTAGCCACAATGAGTCGGATTTTTACCCAGTAACAAACTGGTGGTAGCAACGTCTTGTCTGGTTGAGATGGGTGAATTTTCATCGCGCAATTGACAATAAAGTTGTACTTGACTTTGAGATTTCTCCGTCGTCCTTCAAGAAACGAATCCCACCCAGCTCAAATTGTGTCACGTGATTGATTGTTTGGTAGTTTTAATATTTGCGTTGGGGCAAACACGCTTGCAGACTGTTGGTTGACGCATTGAGGAAAACTGTCTTTTCCGAGCGCCGCGAACGACTCCGCGCATCCTGCCGGTGACGTCATAGGAAAGGGACGCCCTGGCTTGTGTCGTTTAGTCAACGTCGCAGAGAGCCGCAAAGAAACAAGCGATCTTAAAGAAGGATAAAGAAAAGAATCCGCCCTCGAGGACATAGTTACGTTGGGTGACTTTTATTAGTTGCAATATGAAGACGAAATCGTCGCGCAACCAACAAGTTCGCTCGGATTGCGAAGAGCTGCTCGCTCGCTTCCAACAAACGGACTCGGTTCGCTTTGAAGTTTTCTCCCAAATCTGGAGGGAAATGAAGTTTGGACATATATTTTTGTAAGTTCACTCTTAAAAGCACACACACGGGTCAGCTTGCGTCCAAACTTCGTCCAGGAGTTAAACAACATTTGTTCACTCTGATAGCGATGCGGTATTGCTACTCGCCCATCTCCAATCAAGTTAATGAACAAATGTTTTGAGAACCGCTGAATGGTTTCAAGACTTTTTTTTTTTAAAACCGCATTTTGTCCAACTCGTCCGATTTCGACCTCTCACCAGTAAATCTACCCCGATTCGTCCTCCTTTCCAGCAGACTGATTATCATCGTGTTTTTTCACCGGAAGACATTTGCAAGTGTTTGCTTTTACTTCGGAATACAATACTGGACGTATTTGGCCATGTTCTGTCAGATTTTACCGGGACCCGAATCAGAATCAGTTTGCGCTCGTGCAATTTCTGGACTGTCAATATTGAAATGGGGTCCTGTTTTGGAGTTTGCTGTTGTTGTGTCCAATTCATTGATGAAGTGGCGTTTCAGCGGCACCGCAGGTCGCGAGAAGCGAGCCTTCGGCCGGGCGGCGTTGGACGTGGCCGCCGTCTACTTCCTTCCCCCGTTCAGCTTCCAGATCCGAGCGGGAGGACTTTACCTGCTCCACGGCCTCTACCACTGCCAGACGGCCTCGCCGCGCGTCCCGGTGAGCTCCGGCAGCACGCGGCCCGTCCCGGCTCACGTGCGCGACATGACTGCGGCAAATGGGTCGAAGCTCATTTTGCCTTTTCCTCACAAGAGTTTGGCACTTTCCCATCGCCCGCGGGGACAATGCCCTCACCAATGTGATTGCAATTCAGAGACAGACGACAAGGGGGGTTAGGGTTAGGCGGCGCCCCCAAAATTAAGCAGCTCTCTCAGGAGCACGCACAATGAGCAATACGAAGAGACAGACAGACGCACGCACGCACGCGAGGCCGAAAACTTGATCGCTGTGGCATTCCTCAAGTGACTCCAAGACCAGTTTGGCCACTTTTGACTCGAATTCATGGTGCCAAGGTCACCGACGTTGGCGACCTTGAACTAACACTGACACGAAAATAAGAAATTGTCCTTTTTGACCATATATATAAATATATATTGAGGTGCAAAAGCTGGCGGCTTTATTGCTGAATGTTTCTCCGCTGCCTAACGTGCGCGCGTGTGCGCAGATCCGCTTGGCGCTGAAGGACTGGGAGGACGTCCTGGCCTTTGAGAAGGACGCCGTGGGAGCTCAGCATCTGGACGCCGTCTTCCTCCTGCGTCAGCTGCTCTTGCGCAAAGCCTTCCACTTCGCCGCCATGCCGGCATTGGTGAGCGCAACTCAAGAGAGCGCTTCCAAACAACCGCCGCCGTTGACCCGGCGCTGTACGCGGAGGGCCGGGCCGTTTCAAGATTTGAAAACACATCAGAGAACCTTCAAAAGAACTCGAAATTGAGCCAGAGTAGGAGTGACGCGCTCCCTCTTACGAGTAGCGGTCGAGAGGCGAGCGGCGGCGTTTCAGGCCAATCGGAGACGCTTGATGGAGGATCGGCTGACTCCAAATTGCCGTGCGTCATCCAGCTCCATCTTGTGTTGAATTCTCACTGGGCCTTTTCAAGTCGAGTCAGATTCACTTGCTTTGTCTCAAAGGGCTTCACAAGCCCACCGTTGACAACCTCCGCTGATGAACTTAACCCCACGGGAGGGCGGGGAAAAGGACCGCGATTTCGGAGACGCCACCAAAAGTGATCCTGTTGTTTTTCTGTCCTCCCCTTCGCGAAAGCGAAGCACCTATTTGGAGCGGGTCGCTCTTCAAGCGGCTGATTGGCATTTGCTCTTTGTGCTCGCAGCTGACGTTCAAGAGGAGCAAGGAGGAGGCTCGTTCTCGGCTGTGCAAGCGCTTCGTGGCGAGGGCGCGCGGCCCCCAGGAGCTCGTCGGCCGAGACGCCATGGAGGTGAGTGGCGCTCCGACGGCGGCCCGCCGCGGCCGCTTTTGGCGTGACGGCGCCGGTGCGGTGCTCCGCTCCGCTCTGCTCTCAGGAGCTGTCCAACATCCACCACCTGTACGGCAAGCTCAAGTCGTCCGTCTTCTCGGAAGCGCAGCGGGAGCGCCTGGGCGTCGCCCTGATCCGCCACAACCTGCCGGCGCAGCTGCGAGGGCACGTCGTGAGTTTCCACGGCTGGCAGAAGAGGAAGCAACAGGTTGTCCCGACGCACGTTGGCGGAGGGCCGGACGCGTCCGTCCATTGTCACGCGCCGCGCCCTAACTCGTCGCGGGGGGTTTTGTCAGGAAGAGAGCGATGATGAGGACGAGGGCGACGGCGAAGGAACATCTTCACGCGCGGAGGTGGGCGACCTGATGTTTGTTGGCCAGCCGGCGCCGGCGCCTTCGGATACGAGCGACCCGACTTTGGAGCCAGCAAAAGTCAACGCCGCTCCCGGCTGAAGCGCTTCGCCCAAAACCAAAAGCTTTCCGTTGCACGGACGGCCTTTCGACCACGTGCGTTTGAGAGGGCGGCGGCGGCATGGTTCTCGCCGCTTCTCAACCTGCTGAAATGACACGAAAAGCTTCTCGTCGCTTCACCTGTGCACGAGGGAAGCTGACTTGCGAGGGAGCCGCTGACAGGTCCCCATTGGAAAAAAAAAAAGACGTCCCTTTTTTGGTCGGGGCGCTTCAAAATTGGGCCGTGTGAAAAGAGACAAAGAGAAGAACCTGCCAAAGGCTCCTCAACTCTAAAAAGATGATTTCTTTTGAACATTGGAACTCGGGCTCAACGTTTTCACGAGCGCACGGCGCCATTCGCTTGAACGAGAGCCGCAGCCGAGGCTTCCTTCGGGCAAGCGCGATTGACGGAAACGTCGGGTCGCTCGGAACTCGGGGCGGCGCTGCGCTCTCTTGCCACTCCTTGACTTTTGTGTCGTCGATGTGTTCAGAGTTCCAGAAGAGCTCAGCTGCTGTCATCCATCAAGTCCAAAGCGTACGGTCAAGCCGCTGAGGTTTGTCACGGCCTTCGTCGTCGTCGTCGTCAGCCTCATCGCGCCGCGGCGAGGGCCCGACCCGATTGACCGGACAGCCGACGGGAAACCCTTTTCGGAATATGAGTCGTGAGATTCAAGATTCAATTCAATTCTTGTGCACTCCTTAAAAGTGAAACGCGGATGGAGAACTCCGTCAAAGCGTCCTTGTTTTTGATTTTGAAGTCATCCGAAGAACAAATGGGATTTGTCGTGACAACGTGTCATGCAGAAATCGTGTTTTGCCAGTAACTTGAGTCCTAAGCTCACATGGCCAAACCCCCCAAAAGCATTCGGGTCGGGCCCCGGCCCCAATCCAGACCACGACGTCCCCTTTTGGCGTTTTCGGGACACGTTTCAAGTTGCTGCTTTTGAATAATCGCTCTCGTTGTCTTTGCGCGGGGAGACGTGCAAGTCTCGCCGCCATCGGCAGGTGGAAGTGAACGCCGGCGAGGAGTCGGGCCCCGCCCTCTCAAAAGTACGCAGCAAGTCCAGCAAAGTATCGCTGAAAGCGAGGACCACTGAGAATGTTTGCATCATAGGTAAGCCCCGCCCCAATCAATCAATACCACACTCCATCTGATGTAAAAAATCCAATTTGACTCTGCATCGTGCGGTGGCCGCCTAAAGAGCTTTACAAAGCCTCGCACGCACTGTCCGTTCATGGACGGAACTGTCCCCGGCCGTATCTCGCCGAGCGGCGAGGCTTTGCGAGCGCGTGCGACCTCGGGGTGCTGCTCTCTGCCAAATGATTTGCGTGTCCTTGAGGCTTTGTCGCTGAGGACGCTCCGTCTCGCTCGTCCGTCCCATCAGGTGACATGAGCAAAGAAGCCGCCACGTCCACTCGCATCCATCATCTGACCGCGCTGGATCGCGGCGGCCGTCAAGGTATCGCCGCCGTCTCGGTCGCCCTCGCCTTCACGTCCTCTGACGCACGCCGGTTGTCTTTTCAGCCCAAAAAGACGAGAGCGCGGGAGAGTGACTTTGCCGCCCGCCCCGCGTTTGAACGCCGTTTTGGGGGCTTCGCCGTCGCCTTTGAAGCACGTCAAGCAACGTCGTTGAAGGCGCGCAGCCGCCGGTGACATGGCTGCGCTTTCGGGATGAAAATCGGCCTCCCGTGTTCTGCTTTTCTCTCTGACAGCAAGTTCGAAGCATTTGAATGATTCCTTGATTTGGGTGTTGGGGGGGGTCCCCTCCCTCCCGCAGCCATTGTTTATCGTTTTTCTTGTGCATTAAAAGGCCACTGGACAAACCCCAACAGAGCAAAAGATGAGCATGTAAAGGCCCCCATTAGGGCCTGATCCATTTTGGGAGCGAGCTCCTCGTTTAGTTTTCAGATGGCCTGATGATGCGCCCCGACGTTGAGAGCACCTCTTCGTTGTTCCGGCCGCGGCCGGGTTCACGATAAGGCGGCTCCAAGCGGTCCGTCCTCGAGGTTGTTCCGGAATCTTGGAACAGGTTTGACCCAAGTGTCTCCCGAGTCCTTATTTTGCGAGGCGGCGGTACCAGACGGGGTTCCAGCACGGCAGCACACCGAGGTGGAAAACACAAGGCGCATTTGTGTGACGGGAGGCGGCAGACAATATATTCTTTTCTTTGATCATTCGCAATGATAACGTTGAGTCAAACATGACCATCAAGCATCCATCCGTCCCGTTTTCAACAGCTGGAGCCTGTCCGAGTTGACTTTGGGCCGAAGGCGGACGACACCCCGAACACGTCGCCAGTCGGTCACAACCACTCCCGCCACACCGTCACAAAGTGGGAAGCCATCCCCCACTTGTCACAGTGTCCGATGTCGCTATTTTTGCAACTTGCATTGCGAACCGTGTTAAACGTCACTTGTCATTGTCGAAAAAGGGGACATCAAACAAGGCGACAATCGGCAAATTCAACTTGGGTTACAGCGAAATCAATTTGACACGTTATCGCGCTGTGTTTCACATGTATTGTGATACCGTATCACACTGCAAGCTTTTTTTGGTGGGGGGGGGGGGGGTTGCGGCGTTTTCAACAGCTGGAGCCTGTCCGAGTTGACTTTGGGCCGAAGGCGGACGACACCCCGAACACGTCGCCAGTCGGTCACAACCACTCCCGCCACACCGTCACAAAGTGGGAAGCCATCCCCCACTTGTCACAGTGTCCGATGTCGCTATTTTTGCAACTTGCATTGCGAACCGTGTTAAACGTCACTTGTCATTGTCGAAAAAGGGGACATCAAACAAGGCGACAATCGGCAAATTCAACTTGGGTTACAGCGAAATCAATTTGACACGTTATCGCGCTGTGTTTCACATGTATTGTGATACCGTTCCCCACTGAAGGTTTTTTTGGGGGGGGGGGGGGGTGGTTGCGGCACTCGAAGCAGCGGCTGTTCGGACTTCTAACGCGAAGGCTGGGAAGTTCTCCTTTCCCAGCGCCCGTGAAGGCGTCGCGGTTGCTCGACACTTCCGGGTGTGCGGCCCGCGCTGGAAAGTCCCGGATGTCGCTTCTCTCCCGAGGAGTCTGACCCGGGGAGACCGGAGACGCCGCCTCCCTCCCTTCCTTCCCGCCCGCCCGCCCGCCCGTCGCCGCCATGGCCTCCGACAGTAAGTAGCCAGCCGCCAAGCAGCGGGCGCTTGTGAGCCGCGTGTCCGACTCTCGGCCGGCGCGCGCGTCGGGAAGGAGCCGCTCGTCTCCACCGGGCCTCTTGACGGCCGCGACGTTGACGCGCACCTGCTTCGGTGCTACATTTGATTGTTTGGAGGCTTCGTATTCTCCGAAGAGCGCCTCTGACCTGCGAGGCGACTGAAATGCCCCCTCCCACCCGTTCCCCCCTCAACCGCCAAGCACCAACCAGACATGATGCAGATGCATTTTCGCTTGGGTTTTGCTGTCAGGACTCATTTGGTTTTATCTCGTTTTTCGCGCTGACGCGAGAGGTTGCAACGGTCCAAGAATCCCAAGTTCTTTTGACCGCCAACAATGGCACGAAGAGAGAAACAAAAAAGATATCAACTTGGCAGGCGCATGTTTTGTGATTGCTGGGAGGGGAGAGTCATCTTTTCAATTCCATGTTATCCGTGTTCATTTTTGGTACGCCGCACGCAGCGATGCGATTGCTTTCCCAACTCAAAATGGAAGAAAATGGCGACCGCGTGCTGCCATTTGAGGATTGCGGTCGTCCGCTGGAGCGTTTTCGCCCATGTTTCAGATGTCCCCCGGCTGCTCCGCAAGAAGCACGATAAAGACCACGCCGAGAAAAACAATTGGACGACGACGACTCCAAGTGACGTGCGATGCCGCAGTCGTATGAGCTGCTCTTCGCAGTGGATAAAGCAAATACGCCCGTGAGGATTGCGACTGTCTTGCCTGCATGTAGCGCTCGCTTCCCCATTTGTGTTCAGAAAAAAAAGCGTCGTCTTATCGACGTGACATATACGGAGCCCACCTTCTTGAGTCTGGCGACGCACCGCACAGCCGGCTTTCTTTAGCGGCCGGATTGCTCGTCGGTGAAATGCGTGTCCGTAGGCACTTTGCGATGTTCTGTGACTGTACACAAGGTGGCAGCGGTGCTCTGAAAATACTCTTGAGATGAACTAGCCCGTGAGGCAAATGCAGCGTTTGGCTCCACCGCGGCCTTGTTATTTTGCCTCCCGACACCACAGCCTTCAGCCGCTTAGAGACGATGAAAGGGACGGACGAAAACCCGCTTCCGTTCCAGACGTAATCTGTCCTTTTTCCCCAAAAACTTGTCATCCTGCGTCCGCACCGTTCCGTCCCAGCGACGCGCTGCCCATCTCTGCCGATGAAGGTGACAAAGTCGTCGAATGAGGCGCGCAAAGGCTTCGGAGCGGCTTCCTGCCCGCGCCGCGGCTCGGTGACTGCGGTGACACGGTCGAGCTCCCGCGGGCCGGCACCTCCTCGGCTTCCTCCTCCGCCGTCTGATTGGCCCTTTCCGGAGCCGCTTCCTGTTTGGCCCCGGCCGGCCGACAGGAAAAGGCTTTGGGCGCGCTCCTGTTTGTTCTGCACTCGCTCGCTCATTTCAAGTCCTTCTTGGCTCCCGTTTGCTCACGAAGCCGCAGGCTGTGCGCGCAGGTGCCGAGTGACGTACGGGCGCCTGCCGGCCACACCCCCCCCCTCCTCGGCCGCACGGGAAGCCCGGCCGTGCGGCAGACGTCGGATTAGCAGCCGGAGGAGAGGAGAAGGAGCCCGCGCCAGCCAGAGCGGCAGAAGTCGCCAGGAGGAGAAAGGCCGCCGCTGGAGCAAAAGTCCGCAAGGAAGAAGTTGAGGAAAAGGAGGAGGACTTAGTGAAGACGAGGAGGAAAAGTTGCCAGGAGCAGACGGAAGAGAAGCAATTGGAGAACGCGGGCCCGAGTTGTGAAGGAGGAGGAGGACGAAAAGGTCTCGAGAAGAAGAAGGAGGAGTGAACTTGTTGAGGAGGAGACATGAGCGCGGCGCCCAATTCCACCACGTCTTCAGATTTCAGAAGTAGGTGGAGCCTAATGATCACGTGACCTTCAAAATTTCCTCGGTGGGGACTTTTTGCCAAGGCAAGAATGGTTTTTCAAAACATCGCTGATGCCAAAGTCGCTGCGAAATCCCTTTGACACGTAGCGGGTAAAATGGCGCCCACGTCGGGAGTGATAACCCTTCAAATAACGAACGTTCGCTCCAAGGCTGTCGCAACGCGCCTGCGCGCGGAAGCTAAAGCTAACGTGCCTCAAAGGCCCCGACGCTGCGCAATCTGTCAAAAGTCGTTTTCACGGCGGTGGAGCGCGACTTTCTTCTTTTCTCATTCAAGGTGCGAAAGCCATGCGAGCGTGGCACCGCACTGCCCCCAGGTGGCCAACGTGTGCGCCAATAGCCGGCTGCGCTTTTGGTTTTGTTCACGTGGCTCGCGATTTGCGGAGGTTCCGATTTCACCTTCTTGCTCATTGACTTTTTTGCTGTCCTTTCAAGTTGAGTTTTCATCTCAACGCGCGTTTCCACTCGCTATGGTGAGCGCGTCCGCGACATTTGCCGCTGGCCGTTTCTGCTCGGCAACGGCGGGCCGCGCTCAGACATTTCAATCTTAAATTGTTTGTTTTTTTTTTTCTTCTTCTTGTTTTTTTTCCGGTTTTCGGGACTTGCAAGTTTTTCTGTTCCTCCCCCTTCAAGTCCGACACTTACCGAGCGTTTGTTGTTGCTGTTGTCGTGGTGGCGTTTGTGTGTAGGTTGTCTGTTGGTGTGGTCTGATCAGTGCGTCCTTGTGTGTCCCCTCTTCCTCCCGCGAGCAGTCACGGCGGAGGCGGTGGGCTTCCTGTCGGCGGTGGGCGTGTTCATCGCCGCCCTGGCGCTGGTCTTCCTCTTCATCAACAAGATGCTGTGCTTCTCCAGAGTGGGCGGAGCTCCGTGTCTGGAGCAGCGCCGGCGCTCCCGGAACGAGCGGTCGCCGGGGCTCCGGCAGGGCCTCGGTGAGACGTCCCCTTACACGCCGACCCCTTCGCGCATCCACGTAGTAGCCATCGTTTGGGTTCGACCATACTTGGTATTCCTCTTCACGCCTCGCCCGGCAACTCTCGAGAGATGACCGGGTGCGCCCCCACGCGCTGACCCCATTGACTCGCGTGGGGCACTTTGGGGGCGCCTTGGCTCGCCGCACCGGACAGCCCGAGGTGGCCATTCATACGTCGTGCCCAAAATCGTATTTCGCCCGGAATCCCAACCGTGCAATCGGACCCGCGGCGCCAACGCGCCCTTTGGTGAAATTTGCGTGAAGGGAGGAGGCCAAAGGAAGTTTGCGGTCATTTTGAAGCCCCTGCGTTGCCGTGGAAAGGTGGGCGCGGTCACGCCTGGGCTGGAGCCGCGAGAGCCGCCCCGAGTTCGTTGAAAAAGTCAACCGAGAGTTGGAAGCAAACACGCCGGTCCGGTCGCACCTCAAACAAGACGCGAGCTGTTAGCTCATGAGCCAGTCGGAGCTCAGCCGCTTGAACAAATAAGAATTCCTGTTTGGCGGCGACGCGCTCGTCCGCCGAAGGCTTGCCCAACGTTTGAAAGGGACGGGAGGTGCTCGAGGTACCAGATTGGAAGCGGATTGATCGGTCGCCGGCCTATGAAGGGACCCGTCCTCGGTCGCTGTCGAGGCCGAGCTCTTCAAACAAATGAGTGGGCGCCAACCTGTGTCGGGGGACATCGGTTGTCGGGGACGAACGTCGCGCTGACGGCCAGTCCGTCACGTCGCCGCCGCCCTCATTTTTCTCGTGTGTTTTGTGCGCGTCCAGTCAGGAGCCGCAGCGCGGATGACGACGGCGGCCGATCGTCCTCGGACAGCGACAACCAGGTGATGAAGCAGTTTGAGATCTCGGTGTCACGGGCGCAAAGTTTGCGCGGGGAGCAGCCGCCCGGAGGCGCCGGCGGACGCCGCCGCGACAAGCTTGCCGGCGCTCGCCTGTCCCACCGCGAAGGTACGCCTGCAACTGAACGAGCTGCCGACTGGTCGCCGGTCCACGTCTGGGCGCGTATGCAGTGGTTTGCCCCCGAAACCTAATCACCGGTTGGGCCGCGCTTAGCAGCAACAACTGCGATCAAGCGTTTGCCATCACTTGTGCCGAATATGTCGCACGCTGCCGGTTGAATTTGAGCAGTTTTCCAGCAGGAACCGCCATTCTCAGGTCATGCCGGTGCATTTTGATCGGATTCAGATCAGGACTTTGACGAGGCCACTCCAAAGTCTTCATTTTGTCATTGAAGTGTGACACCCCCCCCCACCCCAAAAAAAAATATTGGGGCAAACACTTCACTGTCATCAAATAACCGTGATTGCGATGTGATGACGTCATCTGTAACGATGGGCCGCCGACTCCATGGCCGGAGATCTTCCTCTTACAAAGAGGTGAAAATCTGCTTCCAGACGATTTCCCGCCGGCAGTCGCGGAGGCGACCAGTCGACGCGACCTCCGTAATGAGCCGGAGGAGGCGCCAGGGGGACCTTCGGCACCGGAGCAGCATTCGGGGGCCGTCCCGCAAGAGAGTCCCGCCCCCTCCGCCGGCCTTCCGCCAATCACGGGCGTCGCCTCGGAGGACCTGGAGGCGGGGCGCCGGCCAAATGCCGAGGGCTCCCCCGCGTGGACGCCTCAGGTACTGCTTGCTTCCGCCCGGCCTGAAACGGGAGACGCCTCGATTTCCTCAATTGGAAACGATCCCGTCTTCTGCTCGGCTGGGCCCACATTGTTGCCGTACGTGTCAGTCGTTTCTATTTTCGAAATCAGTGACACCCCCCCAAAAAAAAAAATCCAGTTGCGTTTTTCCAGTCTAAGATGGCAAAACTCAATTCATCAGATAAAAACAAAATCTCAATCCAACTTTAATAGTCCAATCAATCGACACAATAGCACGACCAGCCCAAAGCACTCAGCCGAGGCAACAAATAACGCAAGGCAAATCACGGTGTCGAGGCCCAGCCAAGAAGAACGTCGCCGCCCTCCCTCCCTCCCTCCCATTTTTGTCTCCGACCCAGGAGCCCCGCCCCCGCGACGCCGCCCCCCCGCCGCCGCCCGGCCCGCTCGCTCCGCGCCCCGTCTCCAAGTGCTGCGACCTGCTGGTCTCCCTGGAGTACCGGGCGGCCGGCGAGAAGCTCCTGGTCACCGTGGTGTCGGCGCGAGACCTTCCCGACCGGCGGCGGAGCGGGGCGGACGCCTGGCAGGTGCACGTGGTCCTGCTGCCGGCCAAGAAGCAGAAACACAAGACTTCGCTCAGGCGGCTGGGCCCGGGTCCCGACGGCGGGCCGGCGGCGGCGGCGGCGGCGCTCGCCTTCGGCCAGACCTTCGCCCTGACGCGCGTGGAGGCCTCCCGGCTGGCGGCGTCGGCGCTGCGCTTCCGCATGTACGCCCTGGAGGGCAGGATGTCCCGGCGCCGGATGATGGGCGAGAAGGTTCTGCCCCTGGCCGGCGTGGACCGGGCCGGAGGATCCGTCGACGTGCTTCTGGCGCTGGTGCCCGGCGGCGACATCAAGGTAGCCGGCGCTCGGCGGTTCTCGTCGCCTTTGCTCCACGTTGTCGGCGGGCCCGCGGGCCCCTGACGTTTGTTCTCGCCAGAGCGCGGACGACTCGGAGCCCAGCCTGGCCGGCGACAGCGTGTCCTCCGCCCGCTCGCTGGCGCGCGGCGGCGCCGCCCCCGAGCTCCTGATGGGCCTGTCCTACAGCGCCGCCACCGGGAGGATGTCGGTGGAGATCATCAAGGGGAGCCGCTTCCGCAACATGGCCGCCAGCAAACCCCCGGGTACTCGCTTCTCAAACTCGTCCTGTTGCCCCTCTTCAGCGTGAGTGTTTTCCTCTCATCCTCTTCGTGGGGGGTTTCCACATCATCATCATCATCAACATCTTCTTCTTGCTGTTCTTCGTCGCGGTCCCGTTGCTCCCGCGGTTTTGCTCCTTCTCGGTGATCTCCTTCCCGTGGTTTTGGGCTTGTACGTCATTTCCTTGTCGGTGTCGCTGGCGTGGTTCCTCGCGCCTGTCGTCACGTTGCCCGTCCTTTTCCTCATGTCCTTCGGCGGCCCGGTCTCCGACGCGGTTCCCCTCGCCCGCCGCCGCCGCTTCAGACACGTTCGCCCGGCTGACGCTGCTCAACTCGGTGGGGCGGGAGATCTCCCGCTGCAAGACGTCGCTGCGGCGCGCTCAGCCCAACCCGGTGTACAAGGAGACCTTCGTCTTCCAGGTGGCCCTCTTCCAGCTGTCGGACGTCACTCTCATGGCCTCCGTGTACGGCCGGCGCAGCCTCAAGCGCAAGGAGATGATCGGCTGGGCGGCCCTGGGCCAGAACAGCAGCGGCGAGGAGGAGCGCCTCCACTGGAGGGACATGAAGGACGCGCGTGGGACTCAAGTGTGCAGGTGGCACGTCCTGCTGGACGCCTGACGCCGGCTTTGCTCTGGACGCGAACCCCTCGCTCGGCACCTCGCCGAGACCAAAGTTGCACTCTCCTAAGAATCTTCTTTATTTTTTTTTTTTTAGTAGCTGAGTTTCCATGGAGCCAGGCGTTCTGATGAAAATGAATCCGAAAGAGCAAACGCAATGAAAATGCTCCGTAGGAACAAGCGTGTCACCATCCAAAGGCCAAATCCAAATGAGATTTCTCTCGGAATCGCAGGGCCGCTCGATTCCTTTTGCCGGTCCGAGTGAGCGTCACGGAAAACGCTTCCGCCGGGATACCCGAGCCGCATCTCCGGACCTCAATGGTCGCGATGTCGTCGGATGAAAATGGCGCCGTCTTACCGGCGCTCGTCTGCGACCGTGGTTACAACCTTCACGTCTACTCAGTTCATGTTGATTTTCTAAAATCAATCAAGTTTCTACGTTTGAAAGTTCAATATCTTGTCTTTGTGATGTATTCAATGAATGGACTTGCTTTGCAAATTATGTTCACCACAGCGTCCCGACTTTCATGGAATTGGTTTTCTACCTCGGTATATAAATGCACTTTGAAAGTTCATTTTTATGTACTTACTACAAAAATCCCCGTTTTTTTTTTTTTTTTTAAAATAATCTTGCATACTGTCGAGTTATTTGCGTATATTATCCCCTTTGAGTGAATATGCATCCATGATGTGAACCGCATCATCCCCTCAAGTGTGTCAATAATGTTTTCCGGGGGGAAAAATAGATATACATTATCTTTGTGGTTTTATGAGCTTCTCACGCGAGTCTTGAATTATTCACTTTCCATTGGAGTTCCCCCAGACATTTTGCGTGATTTGAGGTTTGCATAGAAATGGAGTTGATTTGCTCCTGGATTTGACTTTGGCACTGGCTGCCACTCCTCCAGTTCGCTAGGTGGCGGTCATGCGCGTGAACACTGGTTGGTAAGCACTAATAGTAATCATTCTCAACTCGTGTATTTCTGGAGCCCTTTCAAACAACCACCGCTGTCTACAAAGTGCTGCACATGGAGCAAAAAGAATCCATACAGTAACAAACATCCATCCGTCCTCCGATCCCAGCTGTCTTCGGGCAGTCGGCGGGGGACAGCCAATCGCAGGGCACGCAGAGACCAACGACCATGCGCGCTCGCACTCACACCGAGGGACAATTTGGAGTGTTCAATCAGCCTGTTGTGCATGGTGCATGTTTTGGGAATGTGCGAGGAAACCGAACGGGGAGAACATGCAAACTCCACACAGGAAGGCCGGAACTGGGATGGAACCCACGACCCAGCCAAAAAAATAAAACAAGTTAATACCAAAGAATGCTCAAAAATAGTCAAACTAAAAAAAATTAAGTCTCATCATGAGCCAAAAGCCAAAGAAGGAAAATGAGTTTCAAGGCAAGTTTTAAAGATGGGCAGCGAGGGGGCTTGGCGAATGTTAAGCGGGAGGTCATTCCAAAGAGCCGGACCGGCAGCAGAAAAGGCGCCATCTCCAATCATAACAATAATAATAAGGAGGTAAAATAAATAAGTGAAGGCAGCGAACCGATATCATTGTTTCTATGCTTATTTAGTTCAATATTCGTTTGTAAAGACGGTATGTATTTCGTTTTGACAGATCGAGCTCGGTCACGTCACAACGTTGACGCGCTGGTTCCCATTACAGTCCGGTAGGTGGCGGTATTCCGCGTGAGCGCCAATCAAACGAAACCTAAAAAGAAGAAGAAAAGGCTTTCGACAGGACGCGGAAGTAAACAATCTCCGGCTGACGTGGAGCCGTCCGAGAGTGGAACAAGTCGATCGTATTGGAATTCTTTTTCAGTCACTTGACATTTTGCGTCGTTGAACCCGACGCGAAGAAGCGAAGCGAAAGCCGAGCGAATCGAATCGAATCGAGTCGCAGTCGCTCCCGTGCCGTTTTCCGCCAGCAGCAAAATGGCGGACGCCAGCCGCCCGTTCGCCGGCCTGGCGTCGGTATCCGTCCCGGAGGACACCCCCGTGGAGGGCGACATCTCCGTGCCGGTGCACGCGACGTCGCCGGACGACGACGAACTCTCGACGCTGGACGAGCCGGTGAAGGAGACCATCCTGAGGGACTTGCGCGCCGTGGCTAAGAAGTTCGTGCACGTCCTGTATCCCAAGCAGAGTTCGGAGCTGCTGCGGGACTGGGACCTGTGGGGCCCGCTGCTGCTCTGCGTCACCCTGGCGCTGCTCCTCCAGGGCGGCGCGGCGCCCCGCTCCGGCGACCAAGGGGGGCCGCAGTTCGCCGAGGTAGGCCCGCCCGACCGCAACGTCGACGGCCTCTTATTAGGCCCTTAGGTCAACACCAAACTGGGTATTGGCAGGGAAGGGGGGGTCATCCGCAAATGACTTTTCGCTCATATCGCTCAGCCCGACCTGCATATGGTTTCAAATTCGGCCTACAAGGGCAGTACAAGACGCGGGGATGTTGACGACGGCCGCGCGCGTGTGCTTGGCAGGTGTTCATCATCGTGTGGTTCGGCTCCATCGTCATCACGCTCAACTCCAAGCTCCTGGGCGGCACCATCTCCTTCTTCCAGAGTCTGTGCGTGCTGGGCTACTGCATCCTGCCGCTGACGGCGGCCATGGTGGTGTGCCGCCTGGTCCTGCTGGGCAACTTGGGCGGCGCGGGCTTCGCCGCGCGCCTGGCGGCGGTGGCGGCCTCCTTCGGCTGGTCCGCCTTCGCCTCGTCCGCCTTCCTGGCCGGCAGCCAGCCGCCCAACCGCAAGGGCCTGGCGGTCTACCCCGTCTTCCTCTTCTACTTTGTCATCGGCTGGATGATCCTCACCTTCTCGCCGGCGGCGTAGAGAAAGGGGCGAAAGCTGATTGTTTGTCACTCGCAAAAAGTTTGGAATATCGGACTTTCTTCCTGCGCCCTAACCACCGCGCGGCCATCGGCTTCTACATCCACTCAGGTTTGCGGCCGCAGACAAGCGAGCGTGCGTTGACGCGGCGCCAAGGGCCCACGGGGCGGCCGCAGTTCAAACCTCAAGTCGAAAAAGGACTGAAACCTTCCAACGAGTTTCGCCACTTCGCCGCCCGTCAAGTCTTCGCTCTCGCCCAGTGACGCCCGCCCGCGTCACTCGCCGGGTCGGGGCCATTTCACCCCGAAAGCCGAAATGACAAAACTTTTTGTGAAGACAAACATCCTCTGCCAGACAAAGTGGACTTGGGTTTGTTTCTTGAGCGGCAAACAAAAAGCTGCTGTTTCTCCTTCGCTCTCCTGTGTGTGGGTGTGCGTGGGTGTCGCCAAGACTTTTTTTCACCTCACGCTAGCTAACAATTAAAACTTGAGTGCGTGTGTTCCAGAAAGCACATCGGACAGCAGGTGAACACAAGGGCTAAGTTTGCAATGAAAGCGCTTTAAGCGCCACATGTTTGTGGGATTGGAAACCCGTGTGGGGACGACAACGGTGTCTGTTTTGCTTGTTTTTCTTCTCTTGTCTACTAACGAAGCATAGTTTTTGTTAGATTAAAACAAACCTGGACATGTGATGTCAGACTTTGAGTAATATTCTCCGATTAGTGTTATCAGAATGACTAATTATACATTTTTATGTCACTGGATCAGTAAGAGGAAAGAAAAGTTGACACTGAATTTCGTTTTGAGAATCGATTCAGTGCACTGATCAGAGCGTTTGAATATTTGGTAGGCTGCGAAAATATTGACAGAAAGAAAATTGCAGCAGAGTGAAAGGACGTGCGAGGAACGCAAGTGTGGACGTTGTTGATGCCGTTTTGCCCAAGTGATCAAATGCACCCAGCAAGCTGAATGTGGAGTGGGGAAAAAAGAAAGAAAAAGAAAAGGTGACATGATGGTTGTGAAACATGCCGGAAAATTCAAGGGATGGCTTGAGAGCAAATGCAAATACATGACGACGATATAGAAGGAGAGGCCGAAACCGGAAAAGCCAAAATAGTGTACAATTTAACCAGGTGGCGCCAGGGGCGCTAATGCGCTCGTTCGTTGAGCTTTCCGCCGCTCTCGCCGAGGAAGAAGAAGGAAAAAAAAAAAAAAAAAAACCAAAAAAAAAAAAAAAAAAAAAAAAAAAAAACCACCCCCCAAAAAAAAAAAAAAAAAAAAAAAAAAAACAAAA